ATAAGGATCATTGAGTCTGGCTCTGGCTCCTCAGAAGAATACCTAAATCTAAACTGTGTGACTGAGAGCATCATGCAGACCTTCCTTGAATGCTGTCAGGTTTGGTGCTCTGACCACTTCCCCAGGGAACTTCTTCCAGTGCCTGACCACCTGCTCAGTGAAGAACCTTTTCCCCGAGTTCAGACTGGACAGCATCCCCATTGCAGCTTCTTTCCACTGCCTCATGTCCTGTTGCTGGTCACCAGAGAGAGGAGACCAGCTCCTCCACCTTCCCCCTAGAGAGAGGTGCAGACCATGAGGTCTCTCCTCAGTCTCCTCCAAGCTGAACAAACCAAGTGACCTCAGTTGCTCCTCCTCACAAGTCTTGCCCTTGAGACCTTTCACCATCTTGGTCACCCTCCTCTGGACACGCTTGAATAGTTTGATGTCCTTACATAGTGGTGCCCAAAACTGCCGCCATGACTTGAAGTGAGGCCGCCCCAGTTCAGAGCAGAGCAGGACAATCCCCTCCCTTACCTGTCTGGTGATGCTGTGCCTGATGTATCCCAGGACATCCCTGGCCCTCCTGGCTGCCATGAGAACTTCCTTCCACTGCTGAGTCATATTTCACTTCCCATAGTTATGTAGATCCATAAGATTCCCCCCAAGCCTTCTCTGCTGGACATGGGTCACTGCCAGCTCTCTCTGCTTTTCCTCACAGGAGGGATGCTCCAGTGTCAGGCAGGTTTCTCCAAGGAGCACCCTAGAAATGGTGGACAACTTTGTACTCAAACTGCTTAGAAAAAACTCCTGTAATCATGAAACGTGTTTTTCTAACTGCACTGGATGTTAGGCTCTAATCCCAGAAGGAACCACTTGGCCTGTGATACCATCTTTGAATGCCTGTGCAGGGTAGAGGGGGAAAACCTGCCTTCTCTGGCTGTTTTCCAAGTTACTACTGCCTGCTGCTTCTGTGACAACAAGATGCCTCTTGTGTCCTGGTTTTAGGGTCAGGAATGTACTAAGAGCTGCCTCCAGTCCCTGCTGTTCCACAGATTCATGTTTCTTCCCATCCAGCACTGCTTAGGCACTTGAATGGGTGTTTTGGCTAATTATTGCCTGCTGCTTGCACCCTTGGTCCAGGGTCAGGAAGGACGTTTTTGTCTGTGAGATTTGTCTCATGGGGATAGTTCATTGTTATCACAAGAAAATGTGATTCATTAGAAAGGGCAAAATTGGACTTCTTCATCGTGGGAAAAGGGGCTGAACTCTGTGTTGTTTCTAAAAGAAATCAGCCAATACATAGCAAAGATGAGCAGGGAGAGCCCTGAGAGGAGAAAATAATCCCAGCCCTAAGGCAAGCTGCAAAGAGAGTCTGGGGAATCTGCAGGAATAATGCTGATTATACTCAGTCTTGAGACCCTTCCTCATCCCTTACTTTCCATGTGGTGTGAAAATTTCTGTTTTATCCAGTGAGGCAACATTGCCCTAACTTCAGGGGGTGCCACATGCCCTTTCAAAGTGGTATCCGTGCTTGATTTCACTGATTCCAGGTGGAAGCTCTCGGTGATCTCCTCTGTCTTTTGGGGATGTGCTGGTTCAGCCCTTCTCAGTGCACAGGGTTGAAGAGGAAAGGAAATTCAGCTCCAGCACTGGGTTTGGATTTGGGTTTTCTCCCTTTTCCAGGAGGCAATGATCCACAGCAAGAAGTCAGCCAGAGTCCAGGAATAGCAGTTTGTCTCTCATAGAAACCATTTGATTGGCATCACTGAGCTGCAAAAAACCCCGGTGGGCTTGGTGACAGATTCTGATCGCCTGGAGACAGGTTTTTCTCTCTCATCTCACAGCAAGCAGAAGAAAGCTCATCTGGTATCCTTTGTACCTGCATACACCTGGGAAAGGGATAGCAGATCTTTTAAAAAGGAGATGCAGAATAGGATCGTACACACAGAGGGAGGAAGTGTGCTGAAAGGCCTCTCACAAAGTGTTTGCCCTTTGGGATTTGGTGTTCTTTGGAGTATGAATACCCCCAGAAAGGAACAACAAAGAAGGATGATGGAATCATACATCATGGATCTCCATTTTTAACCTAACTCAATCAAGAGCTTTCTAAAACATGTTAAATATCATTAAAATAGGCATCTCAATGGAGAGATGGGCAGGAGTGAGATGCTCTCAAAGCCCCTTCCTGAAGGAAAAGCTGCAGTAGTGGTTTCTGTAGCAGTGGCTAATGAATGCATGAGAAATATGTATTGCAAATGCCTAGAGGGCAGGAACACCTTCAGCACAAATTTCTTTTATGAGTCACTGTAGAAATAAACCCCCAACCCCAAGTCTGCATAAGCCCTGCCTACATTCTGCTACCTTGCAGGTAAACTGCAAATGAATTTGAGTCAGAAATATTAAACTGTCAAAGAACTTCGACACTGGACACTTTTAACTTGCTTTGGATGACCCTTTTTCATGGAGAAGACTTGGAAATAAGTGCTAATGAGTGCTAATTGCTGCTTTTTCAGCAGTCAGGCCTGTATAGCCCTAAGCAGTGATTGATGATGGCTCCTTCCAGTGCCTGTGATTTATTTACCGGCTAAGCCATTAGAGAAGCATCATGGAATTCTAAATAAAATATTCGACATCTTAAATACCTTGGCAATCAGTAACAGGACCAGTTTTTTACATCTAGCTCCTCAGACCATGTTCAGAATTTCTCCTGGTATTTTAGGAAAAAAGGTTTTTCATAAATCTTTTTTCCTAAAATAGGATTTTTTCATAAATCCATGAACATCTGAGACCCTCACTGCACACAGCCTCTGCCATGTGCATTCAAGAAGGAAATTGGAGCATTGCCCAAGGATGGAGTTTGCTCCACACTGGATTCTCAAGGTGGAGAATAGAAAGTGTATATATGTAATATTTGGGCATCTGATTCCCATTTTTCTTATTCAGCCTGAGATTCTTCCAGGTATAGAAACAGTTACTGCAGTTGCTGTGAATTTCCTAAGCAAAATATTATCTTCTCTTTCATATGGACACAGAATCTTCAATTATGTTGTTTTAATATATATATAGCAAAGATAATTCTCCTTAATTATTACCTTGAGCACATGGCTGCAAATATTGTTCACATATTTTTTTTTTCAGTAGGAAATCTGCATTAGTCCTAAATATTGAAGTGTTTTTCATTATTGAGGGTGCTAATAAGTTATTCATCCTACAGCTTTCATGTGTCAAGAGATCAGGGCTGTATTGACTTCATGGTTGCAAAGCCCTCCTTAAATTTAATATAGGAGAAAAACAGGACTCAGCCCTGAAATAAATTAACCTGAGTTGTTCCAGACACTTGGAACTGCCACGTGTAACCATCAGTCTGGTGTCTGACATTTACAGCTGGAGAAGCAGGTTTCTGTTTGGAATTGTATTAACCAGCTTTTGGGAACCTCTGGAGCCTGGGAACAGCACCGTGTGCTGCTGCTCAGACATCTTCCTCTGAGGCTTCTTCATCAAGGACTTCTGACTGCAGAAGGTCCCCCCTGGGCAGGAGGTTCTGCCTCATGCTCTGTGCTCACTGCAGGGGTCTCCCTCAGCAACAGCAGCCTCCTCAACTGGTTTTCTCCCGCCCAGCTCCAGGCTGGAAGGAGCATGGGGAAAGGGAGGAGGCACGGTGGCAGGATGAGTTTTTTACACAGAGATTCAGGCCAGAAAAGGTTGTTGTAAAATATGGGAAAATAGTGGCTTTCAGCCTTTCTCAATCACAGAAGCTTTTCCATCAGCAGTGCAGTAGTTCAGGTGAGAAATTAGTGCTGCTTGCTTTGGTCACCCCTTACAGGCACCTCACATTGCATCTGTGACCTTCAGAGACTCCATGGTGATGGGCAGAAAACTGCAGCTAAAACCAGGGAAAAGCAGGTGTTCCCTAATGGGACATTCCTTGGTAGCTTGCTTTTCTCTCCTGTGGTATCCCTTGATGGGATTCAGGCCTTGCAGCACATGCCTTGCACCCAGACAACCTGAAACTGCAGGGAGAGGACCTTCATTGGCAAGAACTTCAGGACTGAGTATCCCTGTAACAAAGGGACCTGACGGAGCCAAAACAGAGGCTAAAACAAAGAATTGTTCTGCAAATAACAGGAAAACAAATTATGGTTTCCAAACTTCCCATCCTCTGTACCTACACAGATTCCCTTGCATTAAGCTCATCCTCAGACTTCTGTCTGTGTCCCTCAGCCATTGGCAAGCACAACCTCCTGCAGATAATTCTGATCTGTGCCTGGGCTCTCCAGCTCCTGGGCTCTCTGGTCAGCTAGAAGGACAAGCAGAGCAGACACCTGCTGCCTTGACACTGCTGCCATTAGGGGAGGCACTGATTCCACACTCTCCTCTACCAACCACTGTTTTTCACAAAACATGAAAGTGTTTGATGCATCTGATTTTTAGCTGTCAAAATTGATAGAAATGATGCACAGATGGAGACAGAGCAGTCACAAGAGTCCTTGAGATTGAAAGTGGGGTATGTTTTACATCTCAACATCTGGACACACCTTTCTCCCATCCCTGTCTCCCACTGGAGCTGCATCCATCATTCTGCCCCCAGTCCTGTGTGCACTGAGCTGGTGCTCAGCCCATAACATTTCACAGCATTTTCCATGAGCCTCCAACAGGTTGTTAAATAGGATAATCCTGGCTGCATGCTTCCTACAAATGCTTCCATTCATAGATCCAGCACTTGCTTCTCCTAATTAAAGGCAATTCTCCCAGTTTGGATACGTTTTGCCATCAATAAAGTGAAAGACATCTTTAAATTAAGTAAGAATCCCAAAATACTAGTAAGATGAGATAATATCTTGCCTTCTGTCTTCAGAATCTTTGATTTGCATATGAATTAAAGTAGAATTTATGATATTTAGATTCTAACCTATACATTTTTCTTCCTATTTGATAATTTTTCTTGCAATAGCATTCAGGTCTATTTATATATATATATATTTTATTTTTTATTTTTTGTACCATAAGAGCATCTTTTGGCAAAAATAAATATAATGAATTTGGAGAAAATTGTGACAATTGTTAAGGATTTCAGTAACTAAAGGCTCTATTTTGTCAAATGTCATATTTCAGTAAATTCCAGTAGTTTGAAATTCAGATGTTTTTTAGGATTAAGAGGAATTGTAGAGGAGAAATAAAATTAAAGGACAGAGAACTAGAATGGAATATAGGGGTAAAAATAAAGAGTGGAACTGGAGAGAGATGGTTAACTCAATCTAAGCAATATTTGTGTGTAGTTTGACCTGGCTGATGATTTTTATTGAACTGGATCCCGTCGTAGACAATGACACCGTGCATTTTGCAGTGATAAATTTCTAATTACTGAGCTGAGCTTTTGCAAGTTGGATACAAACCTAATTATTCCAGGTTTGGTACTCTGACATCAAAAAATTAAAAAGGAAGCATAAAATATGCATTATTGTCTATATTCTTGCTGTTATGTATCTCTAGGGCAGTGTAAGGTGGCTCTTTGTTCCAGCTTGTGTGTTTCAGCTGTGCCTGGGGTGTGTGGGAGGAGATGGTTTATGAATGTGTGCATGGCTTCGTGCACAGTTATGCAACAGCTTGTTTCTTAAATAGAGGAATCCCAGGAAACACAGAGAGAACACAACCCACCCACCCTGGAGAACCAAAACCCCCTGCAGAAACCACACACCTTCTCCAAGATTCATTCCCAAGGGGGAATGAGGAGAAGGGAGCAGATTTACACGGTACCTTGCTATGTGATGTAAATGAATGTTATAATAATCCAATTTATTTCCACAGCTGGAGATGCTGTCCATGAGATGGCATCATCTTGTCCAAAGACTCTGGGAACTGACCTGTCCTTGAGGTTGAGGGTGAGTATGCTACAAAGGTGATTCCTGGCATGGTGATATATAAGAAAAAAAAAATAATAAAAAAAAGGCAGGAGAAGCAAGAAAGCCAAGCATATTTTCAGTCTAAAGTGATTGATCAGGCAAATTAGGTGTGTGTGGAGCCAGCAACTGCTCTGGAGAGTGATGAGAGAGGAAAAAGAGGGAGCCAGAAATCCCAATGCCCAGGTTACAGTAATGAAGGCCAGCTAAGCAATGGCTACATCCCAGAAGCTGGTGCTGTGCTGGAAGAGGCTGCCAAAGAAAATTTGCTGAGGGAATGTGCTTTGGAACTCTTTTTTTCAGCCCTCAACAGCAGTGTTAGAGCTTCTGGCTTAGACTGGCCAGGGGCTGGCCACAGGTACAGAATTTTTGGGATCACATCAGTGTCTGGGTCAGAGCTTGCTCTGTACTGTGATCCTTGCCCCAGCATCTTGGACATCTCACAGAGGCTTCTCACTCCCAGAGTCAGGTGTGGGCTGAGCCCCTCAGTTTGGGGTGTTGCAGTGTGGCTGCTCATCTCAGAGCAAGGCCAACCACACCATTCTGGAGCAAAGCCTCACCCTTGGCACTGCTACTTCTGTGGCTTCTGCAGCATTGAGCCTGTTTGCAAGGGTCTCAGGTGTCAGACCAGCTTCTCACCTCTACCCTTTCTGTCACAGCTCCTGGAGCCTGGTTGAGAACTCATAACAGCAGTTTAATACTAGCTAATAACTTAAAAATTTCCAAAAACTGGGAAAAGCTAACGTTTCCTTCTGGCTGTTTCTGTCTGAAACTTCTACAAGTTCTTACAATTTCAGCTTTGGTTTTTTCATGCTCTGAGGCCGTGCACCTCTGTTTTCCTTCCCCTTTCCCACCCTTCCCTCATTGCCTTCCACAGACCCATTTCTGTCCTATGAACTGAGTGTTATTAAATTGCATTCACAGCTCATTAGGGGCTGCCAATTCACCTAAGGGGGCACAAAAGCCAATATTTCTTGTGAAAAATCATTAAAGCTGGAATGGTGAAGAAGGACACCCACAGACCTGCTCTCAAGCCTTGTGCTGGGCTGCAGCACAGAAGCCTGTCTGAATCTAAAAGACTCCTTCATTTAGCACAGCTTTGCACCAGCAAATGTAGGGCTGGATCCTGTAGGGCTGGCAGCACATCCCCACCTTGGGGAGAAATCTCAGCACAGCTCTCACAGCAGAAAGACCCCATGAACAGGCTGTGAAAATGGAGATTTCAGGTTTAGTTCACAAATTTGGTCTCAGATTTTATAGAAGTACGAAAGCTTTCAGATGGGTGTGCTTTCACTGTCTTTCTGATAAAAATTAATGTAAACATAATGATGTTGCAGCATTGCACCAGCTGTACAGCTCTTCTCTCTGAAGGAGGACTAAATCATTAAAGCAGCCACAGGTTTTAGATATCCAGAATCAAACAATTTTTTAAAAAATGTTCTTGGTTGTGTCATTTCTAATACAACAGCTATTCAGCATCAGTCCCGTTGTAGTCTGCATCAGGTACAGTCCTTGAGCTACTAAAGCACCACCATTCTTAAATATGTTCTGAAACACTGGGAAAACTTGATTGCATTTCTAAAGAAATATTGATCCTTGTTGGGCAAAACCCCAGCACAGTTTCCTGGGACTGTAGGCACAATAATTCCAGAGTTCTGGGTATATGGTGGCAGCAGCAGGACTTTTTCTGTAGTGTGAGTTAATGAGTGCATGGGCAGCACTTGCAGCCCTGCCTCCTTTGGGGTGCAGATCAGGGGGATGTCACTTCATTGTCTCTGCTGTGAGAGCTGGGCATTCAGGATAAAGGCAAAAAAAAAAAATGCATTGGACTTCTTGGTCAAGAGTGCAGGAAACAAGTCATGAATTCACATTTTCAGTTGTGTGGAGAAAGAGGAAAATAATGTTTTCTTATGGTTAGAAAAATAAATTTTTATTCTATGCATTAGGAAGGAGCTGCCAACAGGGCTTTATATTTTCTCCCTAAACAAATCCCTTTCAGATACAAAAGTGGAAACAAATGTGCTTCTTAGCACATATCTTCTCTTATTCAAAAAACCCCTAAAGAACCATGTTCTCTGCTGATAGAAATCAGCACAGCTCCAAAGTTATACCCTCTGAGATGCTGACCACAGCCATACAGGCAGAAGTGATTCAAAGAGGAGCACTGTGGCTCTTTTAACACCAACTGAGGGCCAGTGGGGAGCAGGGAAGGTGCAGGAAATGATTTTGGGAAGCAGCTCATATTTATCTTGGTGCCACCTGGGGCAGCTCTCCACACAAACCAAGGCTTTTGCATAAAAAATAAACCTTAGGCCCTCCTGCTTATGTACATTCAAAGCCAACGCTGTGTTGCATTCAAACAACCTGCTTAGGATCTATCCTTCCCCAGCCCTGTGACAGAGCTCTGCCCCAAGCACCTGGCTGGTTCTGGCATCATCTCCTCCATGGATGTTGGTGTCTCCTGCTCATGTTTGGTGCCAGGGCATGATCAGGAGGATGCTGGAACCATAACTGTTGGCTCATGCTTTCAATTTATCTATGTAAAGTTTGGGGGGGGTTGGGGGGGTGAATATCCCTTTTTATTTTTCTCTGTGCAATGCTACCTGCTGTGTAGAAAAAAAGCCCTGACTTTCCTCCTTCTATTATGTGATGATCAAAAAGGTGATGTTTTTACTCTGAGGCGTTTCCAGGGAACAAGAGGAGCGTGCAGCCATTTCATATAAAGCAATCCTGGCTGGAGAGGCCTGCTTCATCTCAGCTGCAAAATTAGGATGATGTTTGTTGTAGCTTTTGCAGGAAAGGAGGCCTGGAGGCAGAATTTTGAGGAAACTGCTGAATGAGGAATGTTTTTGGGAGTGTCACTCCCGCAGGGAGGGCATGGTGAAGCAAAACAAGTCCTTGATTTCTCAGTTCAGCAAAGGGCAAATCAGAGGCACAAACAGGCTGTGTGAGAGCCTTTTGCTGTGGTTAATATTGGTTTAGCATCAATAAGTAGCAGGGTGGCAGAGTATCCTGAGCAAGGCCACACTGCCAAGCCATTAAGTAGAAAAGATGATTCCTTGGATGCAAATTCATTTTACTAAGGCTGAAAATAACCCAACCAAAGAAACTAATAGTGGTGAATAAGTGCATTGCTAGAAAAGGGGGAAAATGGGTAGAAAAGTGTTTATCTTAAAGTCCATAAATAGAGTCCTTTCTGCTCCTGCCATGCTGAATGGCAGGACTGGGAAGGTGTGAAAGCCCTTTGTGTGCCCAGACAGCCACACTTCACCAGGACCGAGCAGACAAGGATGGAAGAAATGCTGAATTCTATCCTAAGAATTGTGTTTTCTTACTAAATTTTAATCAACTTTCCCAAAATGTCCCTTGTTCCTGTACAGTATGTAAAAGGCAGTGCCAATTACAAATATCTCTATAATTTCTCTTTATTTAGATCCTTGCACTTCTATGGTTTCCACCATGCTAGTATCTGGGAATATCTGTATTTCGAATTCTCCACTGGAATTTTACCACAATCTTGCTGCATTGGCTTTAAACTGACATTGGAGAGGGGATGATGATGGTGATGTGTCACCTTCAGACCTGTTGGTTACTGCTTGGCACTTGGAATGCTGAAGTTGGGAACCATTGGTCACAGCTGGATAAAATCAGGATGTTAAGTTGCCTGGTATGAAACTGCATCAGCCACAGTCTCTACCATATATACCATATATCCCATAAGGAGAAGCAGTCCCCTGCTTCTGACACCCACAAGATCTTCCCCCACACCATCAATTTATGCACCCATTGCCTCCAAACTACAGCCATCCCTTGGGATTTTTTAATAAAAATTGCTCCCTGACAGGAAAATATTCCCACTGTTCAGACACATGCATGGCCACATGGCTATCAGCTTGGTTTTTCCAAATTAGTCTTGACTTCTCTTAAGGGAGAAAGCAAGGAGAATTTGTTTTTCTTATGACAGCATAGAGGAATATAAGGGAAGAATATTAAGAAGAGTAAGGAAAAGATAGGAAAGAAATGAAAGCATCCCTTTTTTCCCTCACATAGTATATACTCTGAAGGAAACCATTCTCTGGCAAAAAGAAACCTTTTTTTTCTGTCTGGGAAGTAATTTTTAGGGAGAGCAAGATGCTGTGTGTGTTAGTGCAGAGAGTCCTCCTGGAAGAAGAAATGGCACAGAGCTGGGGGATGGGAAGCAATGGCAGGGCAGATGGGGCTGTTGTGCTGGGAGGTAACAGGAAAAATAAAAGAGCCTGTGCTGGTTCAAAAACATCACAGATGTGGCAATTCCAGGCTCGCTGGTGCAGCGGGTTCCTGGAACTGTTTGTCTGAACAGCCACCCTGTGTGCTCAGCCCCTGACAAACACAGAGTAACCCAGGGTACAAGGAGACCCATGTCACAGTGCTGTAGTAAGACGTGGCATCATCAAGCTGCATCCCTCTCCAGGAAAATGGAAGGCATTTCTGGAACAGACCTTTTCACTAACTAAAGGAAATTTTGTTAAAAAATTACCCCACCTGCTCTAAATTTCATTTTTCCATATGTTGCATAAATTAAGAGTCAAATAAGCTGGGTCAAGCAGACTCTAATATTCAAGGTTTTTAAGGAAGAGACAGCAGCAGGTATTAGCACAGGGTCTGTCTTAGATGCATATTTTTCTTTTCCAGGCCTTCATCCATAGCATGAATTCCCAGTTGTTCCACTCTGAGAGTGAACAATGGTTTTATCTGCACACCCAAAACTAAGGCTGAACATGAACAGTGCATTCACAATGTCCAAGAAGTCTGAAATCTGAATCTTTCCAGACAGTCCCTGCAATGCTTGGTGATTGTTTTCCCAAATTAGCAGAAGGCTGGAAGCAGGTGTACAAGAGTAGGGTGAGCTCACCTTAATTTCAAGGCTTTTCTTCCACTTGTGAAATCATCTGCCCATAGATCTGTGATTATCTGTGTTCTGGTATCTCTGTCAGATACAGACCCTCCTGCCAGCTCCTTATCATTTGACCCTGGACCAGCATTCTTAGTTAAGGCTGATTAAACTGTGAAAAACATATGTATGACATTCCTGTGGTGCCCACAATCCGGTTGGATGAGGCAGGAAAACAGTTCCAAGGCTCTGCAGTCTGAGCCATCATGAGTCTTGAAGCAAACAGATTTTGAGCATGACAGCTTACACGGGAGATAAACTGGTGGACACTATCTCTTTTCTCTAGGATTTCTTAAAACACAGAAGAAGCTGACAACTGTAGCTGACAATTGGATCGCTGACATCCAAAACTCAACCTACTCATTGACTTCTGAGGATGGAAATGATTCAAGTCAAGCCATGTCTGCAAATTACACTGAACCCAACGGGCCCCAATACTTTAGGAAGTTGGACAGGTGAGGTTCATGCTTCAGTTCTCTTACAGAATGTCTACCAAGGTCCACCTTGTAAGGGAAACTTTTTCTCAAGTATTTGAAATTTTACCATGAAGAGGGAACCAGGACAAAACTTTCTCTCCAGCAGGCTAGCTCAAAAGTGTGGTTAAACAGGGACAAAACAAAGGCCACATAGGACAGAAAGCTTTTAATTAAGGGGATTGAATGTACATGGAAAGCTCAGTGAGGAAAACGGTGGTACACAAGGAAAAGCCTCACACTAGCTGGTGTTCTGCTGCCTGCAGAGCCCATATTAGATCTTATCTGATTACACAGGCACTGGAAACACACAGACATGGTAAAACACAGCTCAGTCTCACTCAAAACATGTCCCATAGGAGCAAAGAATGGCCAGATTCCTGTCTGGTGGTATGGTGATCAGCTGAGAGATGCAGTGTGTGGAGAAAAGACAAAAACCAGGACTCCATTTAGAATCTGGGAGAGGAAGGAAGACAAGGGGAGAAGAAGGTATGAGGTTGCAGTCAGTTGGTGTCCTCATGAGCACAGTGAGGAGGTGGGAATAGATAGAATGCTGTGTCTGGGAGCTTTTGCTTTTGGAGCAATGACAGCCTGTGAGTTGTAGGGATCTGGCAGGAGTTTGCTCCTGCCCAGTGATTCCTGGCTCTTTTCACAGTTGCTTTGGTGCTCTCTTTCCATGAGATTTGGCTTGTCTCTCCTGCACAGAGGCAGGCCCCAGCCCAGCCATGGAGCCTCACAGGCACATCACAGAATCATGGAGAGACATGGGGCACCACCATTTAATTAATCTCAAATAGAGTGAGATGGAAGAACAGCTGCTGAAGAGATGCAACATTCACTTCAGGCTATTGGTTTAGTTGGAGACATGGACAAATGACACAGGGACTGAAGTTCAGGTGTCCATGACGGGTTGTGTTAAGGCCCATGAGCCTCAGTGAGACTAAACCAGATTAAAACATGCCAGTGACTGTGATGATGAGGCCACCAGCTTCTCTGTACCTCAGTTTCCCCCTCAGTAATGAGGATGATGATGATGCTTATCAAAGAGCATGACATGAGGATAAATGAGCCTTGATGGCAAATAGATCAGAGATCATCCTATTCCAGCAGAAATTACCATAAAATTGAGGTGAAGATCCTCCTTGTGGCAGCTGCTGGGGTTTGATGTGCCCGTAGAGCAGAGTGTTCACAGCAGCCCCTGCTCATAGCCCCATGCACGTATGAGAGACAAAGGAAGGCAGGCAAGCAAGAGCCTCTAAAGGCATTTCTCAGCCCACAGTTAACCTGAGTGACAGTTTGCAGCTTAATGATGGGGGGAGAAGTGGATATTGCTAAATGAAAGGAGGAAAGTTGGACAAAGAATTCTGTCTTTACTTACTTTTTATGCCCATGCAAATTTAATTAAGGGAGAGTGCCTAAAACATGCCATTCAATTAAATGAGTTTTCAAAGAGCACAAAGTGGGCCCCAGTTCCATCAGAGAAAGACACCTGCATTATGGCACAAGGCTTGGAGACACAGGTTTGATTAAACCTTGTAACAACCTTTGTTGGGGTGTAGCTTTCACAATTAGGTGTAAGCACATTTTTCCAGCTGAATTATAGAGCTCTGAATATGAGGTTCACCTTTCTACTAAAAACCTTTCCCTAACCATCAAACTCTGCATAAGTCACCCTCTGGAGATCCTTTCACAGTCTGCTCACATCCCAGCAGGCATGAATTTGCACAGTTGGAAGGATCTCACCAGCTGACACTGGCCATGGCACCCTGAAAGTCAGGAATTCCAGTAAATCTTTCCAAAAAATGTTTGATTTTGCTAAACACAGGCAACTTCTCTTTTCAGATCTGGCAATGAATTGAGGCTTTTGGCTACAATTGCAAAACTGGATCTCTTCTTTGCTTGGCAACTCATCTGGTAATTATGTTGTGTAAATGGAGTGTGGCTTGCAAAAAGTGGAGGGCACAAATTTAGCCTTTGAGCAGCTTCGGCTAAGCTCCATCACTCGTCTGCTGATGGGGATGTTTGCTCTGTGCAGAGCAAGACAGTGATTAAGCCTAGATCCAAAAGTTCATCCCAGGTTTACAGCTACTCCATGAGTAATGCCTGGTCCTGTGAGCAGAATTACCCCCTGTGTTAGTTGTCCTCTGTCAGTGCAGGTGTTGGGTTTGAGCTCAGATATTTACCCTCGTGGAGGAAGAGCTGAGCTCCAGGCACAGCCCAGGGCAATGCTGATGTCCCTGCTCTGGAGGAAAGATGCTCCCATGCTTTTTCTGAAGCACCCACTGAATTTGGGGTCTGTCTCCCAGAGAGCACTATGACATGACCTAAATCCATTGCAAAATCATGTTTTATGTAAAAAACAGAAATTCAGATTTGAATAAGCTCATGCTTAAGTGAAACTCTACTTTCCCCTTCCAAGTTAGTGGGTCCCCTTTCTCATGTATGTCCTCTGTTATAATCAGCTCTTTTTTCCCCCCAACCTCTTCATGAGCTTTTAATTGGTCCCACCCTGGATTTGAGGATCTTCAGCTTCCTTTGGCCTGCTAAGGTCCACCCAGCTACTTCAGGCCTGGAAGAGAACAGGATATATCCAGGAACATTTCTGTCACATTTTCATTGTCGTCCCTGCAATGTAACCCTGTTGCAGCCCTAAATAACTTATTGGGATGGGAAAGGAATCTACCCATTAATAAAAACTGTAACACCTCTTTTGAGTTGATTTGGGCAACAGGACTCTGTTCTGTCTCTTGTACCATGTCCCCATCACTGGCTGTTGGCACTGTGCTGCTCCTTGCATGTGAGTGTCAGCCTGGATTTAATGTGGTGACTAAAGTTAATTAGCAAAGCTCCTTCTCCTGTCATTATTCAGCAATGTTAATGTCTGTGGAAGGAAGGAACAAAATGAGCCAAGCTCATTTCAGTCCTGTGAAAAATCTGGAAAAATAGCAATGTTCACCAAATGGAGAAAAGAGAAAATGAGGAGATAAAAAAAAAAAATTAATTTCCAGCTTCTAGGAGTACGTTACCAATAACAATATAAAAGATAGCTGAGTGTTCTGCTTAAATGAAAAAAGTGATTACTTTGCAGGCAAGTGAATGGTTTTCCATATCTTCTTCCCCTGCCTCTGTCATTTAATTTTTTCCCTCCACTTTCATCATTTGACTCCATTGGTATGGTGAGATGGTGCTGGAGGCTATTGACATTTCTCCTCGGTGCAAGTGGAGGTGACATCCAGAGTAAGCCACCACCTTTGGAGGGGGTGAGTCTGGCCTGTGACACCTGGAAGTGAGTTCTGTTGATTCACATGGCTCAGATAAACACATCAAGCTCAGGAAGATGAGAGCCCATAGTGAATTTACATCCTTAACAGTGAAATATCATAAAGCTAAGGAGATGTGGTGCATCCTCACAGTGGATGTGGACCCAGTGCAAGCATGGGACAGGCTGGAGAGAGAAGAGAGGCTCTTCCATGGTTCTAATCAGCAAAACTGTGACTACTGAGTGCTTCACAGGCAGTAGTATCTGGCCTCTAAGTACTATTTTGAGGTTCACAACTGGATCTTTTCTCTCTGCTCTGACTTCTAATTTTCAGTTGACTCCTCTTTTTGGGCTGGTCTGTGATGGAAATGGGTATGAGAGTCAAAATTTGATGGGGGTGAAGACCAACAGGCACATGCATAGAGATGGTGCAGAGAGAGGTGTGATCAGATAATCCTCCCTTCCTGAGAGCATGGGCTAATAACCCCATTTGCAGAAGACGGTCAGGTTGTAAAGTCAAACTCTGGGGAGCCAGGAAACACCAGAATTAGCAGCCTGCACAGCCACAATGTGGGCTTTTCTGCACATCAAATGTGAGGCATCCTTTAATTATCTGATCACCTAGCATTTGGGGTTATTTTAATCTGGCGAATTGCTCCAGGCCACATTAACACACGCTGCTCAAACCGCACGCTGCATTCAACATTAATTTCCTCGCGAGCGCCTGTGTGAAGCCTCGGCGTCTGATCAATATTAATGCGTTTATCTGCACAGCGCTCCTGCGATATCACCAGCTGGGGAACTGAGCCACAGAGAGATTAAGGCCAAAATGATCAAAAGCGCTTGCTAATTTTGGGTGCTCGATTTGCGGCACCGGGGATCTGATCTTCCCGAGCACTCAGCTTTTCACTGCACTTGGTTTGCCTGAAGCACAGCTCCCACTGGTTTGTTCCTGTCTCCCAGGGCAGATCCATCCTGAGTGCCCTGTGTGGGGCAGCAGGAATAGGAAGGAGAACTTTTTGGGCAGCTCCTTTGCTGTGCAGATGAATTTCCTGTGCTGAACTGTTCAGAGCAAGGGAGAAATCCTGGGGAAAAAACAAACAAAAAACAAGCAGACCTGTATTGGCTATCAATTGGACCCAGGTAGCCAAGAAGGCCAAAGACATCTTGGCCTGTATCAGCAATAGTGTGGCCAGCAGGACCAAGGCAGTGATTGTCCCCCTGTACTCAGCACTGGTGAGGCCACACCTCAAATCCTGGGGTCAGTTTTGGGCACCCCACGACAAGAAAGACATTGAAGGGATGGAGAGTGTCCAGAGAAGGGAACAGAGCTGGGGAAGGGTATGGACACATCTGTTCATCCTGGAGAAAAGGGGGCTCAGGGAAGACGTCATTGCTCTCTACAACTCTCTGAAAGGAGGTTGTAGCTGAGTGAGGATTGGTCTCTTTCCCCAAGTAACATGGGACAGGACAAGAGGAAATGGCCTCAACTTGTGCCAGGAGAGGTTTAGATTGAATATTAGAAAAAATACCTCTTTACTAGTAGGGTTGTCAAGCACTGGAACAGGCTGCTTAGGGAAGTGGCTGAGTCACCAGCCTGGGGGTATTTGAAAGACTTGTAGATGTGGCATCTGGGGACATTAGTGGTGGCCTTGAGAGTGCTGGGACGCGATGATCTTAAAGATATTTTCCAATTTAAATTATTTTAGTGTCAAATTTGAAGTCTTTGGGAACCTTAGGGGTTTTTTTTTTATATTTTTGCACCTTTTCAGTCCTCATTTCATCACCCAATATTCTTTCAATATAAAATGTGGAGATGTAAAGTCCCAAAGTATTCTCCTCAAAACCCAAGCATGCAAAGCCACTTTGGCAATTTTCCCAAATTAACTAGTGAAAGATCCAGTTTTCATTTTTACCAGTACCTAGCTCATTGGTGGGGTGGAGTCCCCTGGATCCCGAGCCAAACCTCCAATTTCACAGCCCAGGGACTGAGAGAGGAGGGTTTATGTTGGCCATGCAGCTCTCTAAGGTTATGAAATATCTGGTGATTTTACACTGGGTGCTTGGCACCAGGGAAACACCAAAATTCAGGACCCCAGAGCTCAGCATCAGGAATTGAGTGGGGTGTGTGGTTTTGCCCTAACTTTTGTCCCTGGGAACATCTCCTGTCCCTCCTCCCTCTGTCCTGCCCATCTCTCATCTATTCCCTGCTCCCTGTCCTGCCAGCTCTCCCATTGTCCACATCCATCTACACCCCCTTGTTACTCCTCTCTCTTCTGCTTCGGCAGTGATAGGGTTTTTTTTCCTCCCACTATACTTTTATATGACTGTGATTTATGACCCTGGGTTTAAAGATTTATTGCAATGCACACATGGCACAGCAGCCTCTAAGTGATGTATTTAGCCTGGTTATTATTTTCTTATATAGCAATTTTCCAAAGGGAAACAAGCAGCCTCATGTTGTCAAAACTATTGTCCTCTAACTTCTGAGGTTTATTCTGATGAGAATGAAGCCAGGGCAGAAAAGCAACTTAAAGAGGTTGGCTGGATCTGTAAACCTCATGAGTAATATAAGCACATGGGAGCTTAACCAAGCACCAGATGGTCTTCAGGCAATTAATTTCAGGTTGAGGATTCACATCTACATCAGCTCTTGTTCATTCTTCTTTACAGAAATGGTTAAAAACATGACAGAAATTTAAACTTCCTCCTCCCTCTGAGAAAAGCAGCAGTGGCAGCAACCACCTATCACCTCTTCTCCCTTGCTTTTGCATGTTTTAGGACAGTGTTTCACCTATCTAAGATGGGCAAGGGCCTTAGGTCATCTTAGAGAGCTTAAACTGATCTAAGGATTTAATGTGCTTAAAGGTGGTGGAAGGACATTATATTTAACCCTAAAACCCCACAAACAACCATGTACCCAAGGCAGGCAGAAGTCTCTTGTTTGGCATGGCTTTGTGTTCCTTTCTTCACATGCATCCTCTTGATGTACAGACCAAGTCAAAGTCTCCTAAAATCACTGAGAAGTCTTAAATTAGCTCAAAGGAGCACTGCTGTTGGCATCAGCAGCAGCAGGTTCAGCCTTCTGTTGTGGACATTCTTGCAGCCAAGTCTATCATTTTCTGTACTGAATTTGTGGTGTCAAAACTGATCTGGAAAACATTAAAAAGCAACCATAAACACTAGTTTCACCTATGGTTTCCCCATCAAAGTGCACCTTTCCAACTGCAGTTTTTAAAATTACTATCCAATTAAAGAAATAGCAGTGAGATTTTATTTTTTTTTAATAATCAGTTTTCTCATTTAAATAAATATTTGGAATGTTCTTTTAAGAGAAACCATTTTTTCTCTTTCTTTTATACAAGTGAATCTTGTCATAATTTTATTTTCTCATGACTGAGCATAATACCCAAGAGGATTTCCTCCAAACTTCCAAGTGGGGCACAGGCTGGAGCTGCGGCATTCTCACTGTTGGAAATGCCAAGAAATGCTGTGAGTTTGGATGGAATTATTACCCTGCTATTCAGACCTCTCAGAAAATTAAGACCTGTGCTGCCAAATTTGAAGATGCCTTGCCCCATGATTTTACTTCAACCCAGGCTTGTCTCAGAGGCTATGAAGCATCCAAGATGTCATTTTGCTTTGAGTTTCTCACCAAGATCGACACTCTTGTACAACAGCATTGCTATCACTGCCTGTGGGAGCAGACCAGCACTAAAAAATCTGGTTCCTCCTATGTGTGTGTGTGTGACACCAAAAATCCACCTTCTCACTGGGATTGCCCCTCATTTTTTCTGTCATAAGCTGAAAACCCATTATCTGAGGTTGCTACGTGGTAGGGAAGGCAGCAGAGAACAGCGGTGGGCTTGAGTGCTGTTTGCTTTACACTGATGCTGCTCTGGAGCTTGAACATGAGGTTTTAATCCTAAACATGGCCAGGAACTTGTGGGTGCTCATCTCCTGGCCTTGGACCTCAGCAACTGAGCCACAGCCACATTTCTGATGTTCTTGCAGAAAAGCATCAATAGTGCTGATTTGTAATAGGAAAGGAAGTTTCTGTATGACTCAGAAACAACGCTGGGAAAGAGGTCTGACATTATGGTATTTAAGCACAGGAAATCCAGGTTGCCAGTGGAAAGGAATGAAAAAAAGACATGGCTCCTTTATTTATGTTCATGGTAAACTGATTTGCACAGTGCCCATATTAAGGGTCAACAGTGAACATGGCCAGGTGCAGCCATACCCTACATGACTGGCCCCAACATCAGTTGGAAGTACCAAGCAGTAAAAACATGGTTTCAAATAGTACTCCAAAAATCCTATCAGTTTATCCTGAAATAAAATATCTCATATAGAAGTAGATTTTGAATTTCTCCCCTAAATATATAGTATTTCCAGAGAAGGCCTTAAAAACCAGCTGGAACTTGTCCATCTGCAGTGTAAGGGTTTGGTGTTTTGCTGCGTGGAGTGGTTGGGTGCATGTGCAGTTTGTGTAGCTGTTTCAAACACACGTCAGCCACGCCTGCTCATTAGCCATTTTCTGTTACAGCCCTTGGCAGAGCTGCAGAGCATGCCCAGGTAATGAG